CATTAAGTCGCACTTGTAAATAAATCTCATACACTTACACCAATACATTGATACATTTACATTGCTCTATTTGCTTATCTTTGTACATTGCTACGTTTTATATTACGATTGATTCGATTTGGTTGTAAATTATTTGGACACTACTCTCCTAATAAGTCTCATCCCCATTTGTAAATATTTGTACCCCCACTCCCGGATACTTATTTGTAATAGCGTAGGCTTTAAATTCCCGCAATTTATCACTTTCAAATATACCATGGTTAGACCTAGGGTTTGTATGTAAATAAAATCAAACGCTAGATAACCTAATACAAGACAAATGCATGACAATCAATACACACTATTCACACTTGCACCCCTAGGGTAATCCTTCTTGTTGCCTTCCAAAATGGGCCATGCTTGCACGTCGAGTTTCTTTGGCAAAACAAAACGAATAAAAATGATCATAGTCCCTCGATGACGCTTTCGAAAGTTGCCTAAACGAAATGATCATAGTCCCTTCAAGCAAATTGCCAAAGACACTTGGCACCATTGCATTCATGGTCCATACGATGACCCGCGCCTGTCCCGTTAACATCCTAACACAAGATTGTCCACCAAATACAATGGTGGAACAAAATTGTTAAAAGGGTTAAAACATGAGGAAAACCTTTGAGTAAATTTAGGGGTAGACAACTCTTAGTTACTTGATCAAACTTGCAAAACACGCTTGCCTACTTTTCAAAACCACACTTCACAAACACAATTTCCAAACAACTTCCAAAAAACATTTGAAACATCTTTTCGAAAAGATACACACCTTTGTAAAACATTCGAGTAAAGAATTGTTACAACGGTTGCCTAGATAAGGCCTCTTTTTCAAAACATTTTCAAACACACACACACCACCATTTCAAGCAATTGAAAATCAAGGCAAGTGATCTAAACCAAGTAACTAAGAGCCCATGGATAACCATGGATGAAAAGGGTGCTAATACCTTCCCTTTTCATAATCTACCCCCCGAACCCACGAAACATCTCAAAAGGTTTTTCCTGTGCTTTTTAACCTTTCCTTTAGGATAAAATAAAAAGTCGGTGGCGACTCTTGCTAAAACGAACAAGTGCGAATACAAACGCAAAACCTCAAGTCAGTTCTCCCACCGTATCACACTTCCTAAGCTGAAGTTCTCTTCAGAATGCTCTTTGTGAAACATGTCAGAAAGGAAAGTTTTCTAAAACTTATTTAAAACTAAAGAGTGTTGTGTCTACCTCTAGGCCTTTGGAAATCTTAAACATTAACCTCTTTGGACCAATGAAATCTGCTTCTGTCAATGGTGAGAAATATGGTTTAGTCATTATTGATGATTACAACAGATGAACATAGGTTAAGTTTCTCATACACAAGGATGAGTCTCATTCTGTGTTCTCTACCTTTTAATATCAAGTGCAAAATGAGATGGATTTTAAAATTGTTAAAGTCAGAAGTGATCGTGGCGGTGAGTTTGAAAATAAGCTTTTCAAAAATAATTTTTTTATGAAAATGGAATCTCCCATGATTTCTCCTATCCTAGAACTCCATAATAAAAAGGAGTTGTAGAGAGGAAGAATATAACTTTGCAAGAAATGGTTAGAACCATGATCAACGAGACTAACATGGAAAACAATTTTGAACTGAGGCAGTTAATACAACATGTTATATTCAGAACATGAATTTTATTAGACCTATTATGAATAAGACTCCACATGAATCGTGTAACAACAAAAAATCCAACATTTCATATTTTTGGATGTGATTGTTTTATTTTGAATACTAAGGAAAATCTTAACAAGTTTGGTTTTAAAGAACATAAGTGTCTATTATTTATTAGGATACTCTGAACGCTCAAATGACTATAAAGTGTATAACACAGAAACACAAATTGTTGAAGAATCAATTCATGTTAGATTTCATGGTAAACTTGACCCTGAAAAGTTAAACCTAGTTGAAAAGTTTGAAGATTTAGAAATCACCTATTCAGACTCTGAAGGTGAAGAAGCTATTGCAAAAGAACCTGAGAAAAACGATTCTGATGACGCTTAACCAGAAGTTGTTGAAGCTTTGACTCCCCTGAGGAAGCACATAAAAAGATCTCCATATTCTGAAGAATGGATTCTGGATAACAAGACTGAACCAGTCAGAACCGAATCCTCATTTAAACCTTCTGAAGTGACGCTTAGGGTTTGGTGTCCCTCATAGAACCTACATTTATTGATAAAGTGCTTATGGACACATAATGGATTCTGGAAATGCAATAATAATTCAATCAATTCTCTAGAAATGATGTGTGGTATCTTGTGCCTAGACCCAAAGGAATGCATGTAATTGGAACTAAGTGGATCTTCAGGAACAAGTTTCATGAGAAAGGAGAAGTGGTAAGAAACAAGACTCGATTGGTCGCACAAGGTTATAGTCAGCAAAAAGGCATCGAATATACATAAGCCTTTGCACCAATTTACAGCTTATAGTCTATTAGTCTCTTAATTTATTTTGATATTAATCATAACATCATCTTATATCAGATGGATGTTAAGAGTGCATTTCTGAACAATATACGTACACCAACCTCATGGGTTTGAAAATCATAAAAATCTTGATTTTGTTTTCAAACTTAAGAAATCATTGTATCGTCTGAAACAAGCCCCTAGAGCATGGTATGAAAGACTAAGCAATTTTATTTTAGAAAATGATTTTACCATAGGAAAGGTGGATACTACCTTGTTACGTAAAACATTTAAAAATGATATTCTAGTAGTTAAAATATATGTTGATGATATTATATTTGGTTATGCTAATTCTACCTTGTGCAAGGAGTTTTCTAAGTCTATGCAGGTTTAGTTTGAGATGAGTTTGATGGGAGAACTTAAGTTCTTTCTGGGTATCCAGATTAATCAAAGTCCAGAAGGGAAATTTATCCATTAGAGCAAGTACACCAAATAACTTTAAAAGAAGTTTTACATATCAGAATGCAAGACAACCAAGACTCTAATGCATCCTACATATATTCTGGGGAAGGATGAGACAAAGTACCAAGGTAGATTAGAAGTTGTACAAAGGTATGATAGATTTTCTATTATATTTGACTGCTTCTAGGCTTGATATTTTATTCGGTGTCTGCTTATATGCTCGCTTACAATCAGATCCTAGAGAATCTTACTTAACAATGGTTAAGATAATTCTTAGGCATCTGAAAGGTACTACTAACCTTGGTTTGTGTTGTATAAAATCAAATGATTACAAGTTAGTAGGTTATTATGATGCTGACTATGTTGTAGTTAAACTTGAGAGGAAAAGCACATCTGGAAGATGTTTGTTTTTGGGAGACAATCTGATCTCATGGTCCAACAAGAGGCAATCAACAATAACACTCTCAACTGCAAAAGCTGAATATATTTCTGCTTCTGGATGTAGCACTCAGTTCTTCAGGATGAAAAGTCACCTATAAGACTTCCAAATATATGAGAGTAACATTCCTATTCTCTGTTATAATACTTCTGCTATATGTTTATCTAAGAATCCAATTTTACATTGTAGAACTAAGAATATTAAGATTAAACATCACTTCATACGAGACTATGTTCATAAGTGAATTTTAAACTTAAAATTCATTGATACATACCACCAATGGGCCGATATCTCTACAACACCCCTTGTTAAAGATAAATTTGTTTTCATTCTGAAGAATATGAAAATGGTTTTATATCCAGAATAAAAAGAATGAAATCTTAAAATGTTTACCTTCCAGAATGATAAAATGAGACTTTGAGATATTTTATTTATTTTATTCATTTTTTAAATGTAAGGCTTCTGAAGAGTGAAGTTCTCATGTATCAGAAATGTCCTAGGTCGAGAAATTTTTTATGTCCTTTGGAAACTGAAAATTTTACTTAATTAATTATTGTTAAGAAAATGAAATATTTGTGGTTCAAAAAGTGATAGTTGTCCTATCTTGAAACACGTAAGTCATTTGATGTGACACGTTGGGAGAAGTTATTTATTGGGATTAGATTAAAACCTCTTCGCTTTACCCGTTGTCAGAATTTTTGCACTATTCCAAATCTTTTTAATCATTGTAAGAAATTGTATTTAAATATGCTCACTCTCACTTCACACACTATTGTAACCTCTATCCCACACTTTCTCTCTTTTAAGCCCCAAAAGTTCTATGCAACCTTAATACCTTTTTCAATTCTTTTTCACATTCTTATTCGCAATGGCTCAACAAAATTCATCAACTGCTCAACAATAACAACGAGCTTCTTTACAACAAAATTTGTCTGCTCAACATTCTTTTCAAGGATCTCCATCATCTCAACAATAATAACAAGATCCAGAGCTTCAATCATCCACTAATGTTGATAAATTTTCCGTTCTTGCTGAGTTGATCATAGATTTTGAGAATCTCAAGGAAGATGAGTTTGATTTCTCTACTGTTTTGAAGACTCAATGTTGGGAAACCTACTTTGATCACTTTAAAGGTCAAGTTTATCTTAAACTGGTCAAGGATTTTTGGATATATGCTTATGTATCAACTAGTGGTCACATCTATTCAAAAGTTATGGGTCAAAGCATCTGCATCACTGAAGATGATATTGTTAAGCATTTTCAACTTGATGGCAATGGAGAAAGATGCTTTAATATGCCTATTGGCTTTGAACGAATGTCTATCAAATTTTCTGCAATTTTCAAGGATAGAAAGGAATCTCATCATCCTAATAAGCTTCATGATAATCTTAGAATTTGGTTTAAGATTATTCTGGGTTGTTTTCATCACCGTCGTTCCACAAACTCCTCTAATTACATTAATACTGATCAGAAACATTTAATGTACTACATTTCAGCTGCAACCAAGATCAATTTTCCAGCTATTATGTTCAAATATTCGGGGAGCACTATTGTTGAGACGAGAGATAATGGTTCCAAATCCAGAAAATGGATTCCCATGGGAAGATTCATTTCATATATCTTGGTGTAGAGCAAGCTTATGGAATATCTAAATCTACAAAGGAAGTTGGATTTTTTGATTGAAACTCGTTTCAATGGAAGAACTCTTAAGGATATGCTTTTGATTTTTGAAGTTGTTATGGTTCCTGATGACTTGGATAAAAATGAAGTTGCTGCCAAAAGAACTATAGTTGACAAATTTCCAACATTTAACCTTGATAGAATTATCGTTGTCTATCAAGCAAAGTGTTCAACTACACCTTCTGTATCCCCAGTCAAAAGTAAGAGGAAAGTTTCTAAAAATAGTATTGGTGATGGCCCCTCAGTGCTTGCTAAGAAGCATAAATCTTTGTTGCTGTGAAGAGTCCTATAGAAGAAACACCAAAATCAGCTCTTGCAGGTTTAAAACGCTCCAAGGTTCCCAAAACTTCCTCTTCTTCAAGGACTTTAGAATCAGTGAATAAAGTCACTGCTGAAGCTTTTTTCCATGACAATTCTGGAACTACTTCAAGTAAGTCTATTTCTGATAATTATTTACTTAAATATGCATTTATGAGTTCATCCATTCCATTCATTACTCAAACTTCTACACTGCCTTCTGTTTCCACACTTGGAATAGTGATAGCTCCCGACCAGAATAATATAAATTTAACAAAAGTTTATACTTATGCTCCTCAACTGCCTCTCTGTAATCCAAACATCCATCCTAACCCTGTTGTACAAGACCTAGATGAACTTGTCACTGCATCAAAAGATTCTGATAGTGTCACAAAATTTCTTAGCTCTATGACAACTAAAAGCAACCTTACCAACCATATTCTTCTTTACCCCTATATGATTATGATGAAGAAATTTAGAGAATCGTTGTCTTTCTAGATAGAACCCCCAATCCTTAATTCACTCCTTCTGACCAAACCTTCATAAGAACCTACATTTAACCACCCTCTATGGACGAACTAATAATGCAATTTGGTACATAAGTAAGTGCTTATTTGCACTCTATGAGGAATCGTTCCACCTTTGATGTAAACCCTGCTGAGATTGATCTGATGTGGACAAACTTTTGAAGATGGACGATCTCTCGCTCTCTGGTGTTATAGAACTTTTCTTATCAAGACACTGCAAAGAGATTCCTTTCTGGAATCTCAGACGTCTTTCTACCCTATTCTGCGCAGAGTTAGACCTTTGTTACTTCCTCCGTAATTGTTTCTTTGTATTCTTGCACCTGAATTGATTCAACTTGTTGAATCTGCTTCTACATTGCTTCATCCTTCTGAAGAAATGCCTCCTTCTAAGAAGCTGGCCTTGTATCTCTCCGAGAAGGTTCTTGATGAAGTTGGTTCTACTTCTAAGGATGGGAAGCCCATGGATTCTAAATAGTTGTCTCCTGACTTAAGGGAAACTCGGGATCTAATGAGACAAGAAAATGCTCTAGTGAGACAACGTTTGGATCTGAAAGATGAACGATACTATGATCAAATGGTGACAAATACTATGATTACGTAGATTATCCATGATATTGCTTAAAGGATACCTCCAATAACAAAACCTTAGCCTCTTTGTTTTTACCTTTGTCTTTTGGAACTTTTCTTTCATTTTGTTTAATACATACTTTATCTTGTTAATCAATGAAGTTATCTTTTGGTTAATTCTTTTAAAGTATTTTTGATTTCTGACAAAGGGGGATAAAATGAGATGTTTTTGACATATCTATTCTTAGGAATTATCTCATGCATGGTTTAATATTTTTGATGTTTTTTCCTCTAACCATGTTTGATGAATCATGAACTTTGAGAAAGTTCACTAAATTTTCTAGACAAGCTATGATCATAAACTCTGAAGAAGATTTTGTTTTTTATATCCATAAGTGATGGTTATCAAGTCATGTTAATTGTAGCTTTGATTAAACGAAATCCAACTAGACTTTTATACACCATGTTCAACCAAGGTTATGATATCCATCAAACCAGGTTCTGATAAGAAACCAAAATATGGTATTTGTCATCATCAAAAAGGGGGACATTGTAAGAACAAGATTTGGTTCTATATCTGGCATTTAGCTTTCATGATAACAATATATTATTTATTAGAGAAAATTTTTATACCCTAATGGTTTTTTCTAGTCTGTAGCTTTTGCTAACAGGTTCTGACTTTGATAGAAGGGTGTGTGACGTCATCCGTTTCTAGAATCAACACACTCTAACTTTGAAGAGATTCAAGTACGTGTTACAAAGATCTAGTCAAGTTCTGGAATGTCTCTAGATAATGGTTCTGATGTACGTTAGTCTAAAACTTCAATGTCGTGACTCTGATTGAAGAGCTTCTGAAGACTTCTCAAGCTCTGAAGATTTTGCCCTTCCAAGTTCTGAGAATCTGAAAACTGAGATTCTGAAGACTCTGAAGACAAGGTTTTGTAAAGAACAAGTTCTGAAGACTCTGAAGACATGTGATCTGAAGATTCTCTTTGATGTTTTTAGTCCTTCTAAACATGCTTAATCAACACACATTTTGAAGATTAGAAGATAAGATCAAAAGGTTTTACGTGAGTGAATAGTACATGGTACAAAATCAAATGTTTCCACTACTCTAGTTTTGTGGCGCAAGGACTCTACTATAGTACGATATTTTCTATCACTCTCACTGACTGTTACACAAGAATACAATTGAAATTCAATATTTCTATTCTACCCTCCAACGAATTTCTTTTTGGCTATAAAAGGAATACTTGGAAGAATTGAAAAATAAGAACTTTACGCTAAAGAAATTGCTGAAATGCTGCTTAACTTTCTACTAAACTATCTTCTGTAAAATTTTATAAAAAGTGAGGAAATTTTGTTCATTGAACTTGCTATTAACATTGTTGTGTTATTTCTTTGTATTTCAACGTGTGTAATCTGCTTTCTAAAAAACATCCTTGTAAACACACTTTGTAATTCGATCTTGGTGTTGATTGTTCCTTGAGAGACTAGGGTATAGTAAGAATTTCTCAAGAAGACATTAACAATTGGTCTTTGTGATTTGTGAACATTGATGAGTAGTCTTTGTTTGTGTCTGTAATCAATTTGGTTATAATAGATTAAGTCCTTGTTGATAAATGCAAAATCACCTTGGTGGGTGAACTCGATTAACTTCGTTAATAGTGAACCAGAATAAAAATAATTGTGTTCATTTATTTTTGTTCTTATTTCATCCTTGTTTGTTTGGGAAGCAAAAAAGTTTTAAATTCGGAAACCCAATTCAAATCCCCCTTCTTATGTTTCTCATACCTTCATTCATTTAATTAGCCAACAAATTCGAAACCATTTTGTAGATCACACTGCATAATGAGATCGGTCTTAGATCCTTCATATGATGCAATTTGACACACTTGAGAATAAGGAAGATGTTTGTATTGTTAAGTAACGACGGGAAAAAGCATCTATACAACCATTATGCTGCTGCCTCGAAAATATCATCACTACACATGTTCCATAAATTTTGGCAAAATGTCGTGTTAACTCCGCATGGCCCTGGTAATTTTCTGGATGCATATTAAGTAAAGCCACATGAAGTTCTTCCTTAGAAATTGGCTGCAACAATCTTGCTTTATCATCTGTAGTAATCGAAGGTTGTATGAGGTGTTAGAATTAATTTAGATTTAATTAGATATTAATTTATATTTAGGAATATCTTTTAGATTATTTATATCGTTTTTCAAGGAACAAGGGTTTTAGAAGTGTGAGATGGAGTATGGTGTTTATGTTCATCACACTTCAGAAGATAATATGATTCTGGTCTGTTTGTATGTTAATGACATACTACATACAGGAAGTTCTGAACAAGAGATAGTTGAGTTCAAGAAAGTTCTGATGAATGCATTTGAGATGATAGATCTTGGAAAAATGAGTTTCTTTCTAGGGATGAAATTTATGTACTCTGAGAAAGGAATCATTTTACATCAGATGAAGTATGAACTAGAGCTTCTGAAGAGATTTAAGCTAGAAAATTGCAAGGTTTCTATCACACCTGCTGATATGAATCAGAAGTTGGACTCTGATTCTGATGGAGAGGATGTGAATGCTACAACCTTCAAACAGATGGTTGGTTCTCTAAGGCATTTGTGTAATACCAAACCTGATATTTGTTATGAAGTTGGAATGGTTAGCAGATTTATGAGAAAACAAAAGTGGTCCCATTACCAAGCTGCAGTTAGGATTCTGAGGTATGTGAAGGGAACTCTGAAATATGGAGTGTTATTTCCGTTTGGAAGAAAGATCGAATCAGAACTTCTGAGTTATTCTGATTCTGATTGATGCGGAGATAGAGTTGACAAAAGAAGTACTTCTGGGTACTTATTCAAATTTATGGGAGGTCCTATTTCTTGGTGTTCCAAGAAGCAACCTGTTGTTGCTCTGTCAACTTGTGAAGCTGAATATATTGCAGGTGCTCTGACTGCATGTCAAGCTATGTGGATTCTGAACTTGCTGAAGATTGAGGTAAATAAACCTCTAAAGCTGATGATTGATAACAAGTCTGCAATCAATCTTGCCAAGAATCCAGTGTTGCATGGAAGAAGCAAGCATATTGAGACGAATTATCATTTTCCGAGGAGTCAAGTTCAAAATGGAATATTAGAGGTTGTGCACTGTAGCACTCAGAAGCAGCTGGCAGATGTTCTAACAAAGGCTATCAAAACTAATCAATTTCTTGGTTTAAGGGATGAAATTGGTGTTGCCAGTTTTGGGTAAATATAAATTAAGGGACGGTGTTAGAATTAATTTAGATTTAATTAGATATTAATTTATATTTAGGAATATCTTTTAGATTGTTTATATCTTTGTTAGAAGATATATATCTTAGATCTTCTTAGATCTTTGTAGAAGATATATTTTAGATTTAATTTTGTATATAAATAGCCTAGTGGAGTAGGTTATTGTAATTCATTGTAAATCCTTATTTTAAAGCTATCAATAAATATTCCTTTTGCATTTTATCTTCCTTGTGCACCAACATGAGGTTCAATACTGCATCATGTTTACCTTCCTTTTCTGTAAAAAAAACTTATCAAAATATTTCTTTTCCACATTACAAATTCCCACTTGGTCTCTAACATCTTCCACATTATCATTCATAAGCATGTCAATATTCCGAAAGTTTCTTCTTATAGTAGCAGACAAATTGAAAAACTTAGTGTTGAGATCCTCATTCCAGAGCCAATGCATTTTCGGCCTATGCTTCCAGTATGTATCTTCACTTATGAGAATCTTATTATATTCACTTTGGGCTTCGCAAAACCGCAATGCATATGCAGGGTCATGGTTACCGCGAAATTGTTCCATCGCCACTTTATGCATAACAAGATCCTCATTCTGTTTAAGTCTA